ACAGGTTTTGATGGACGCGCATTCTAACGGCGTTGAAATGGCGGTCAATTTGAGATTTTCGCTGGGCTGGTTGCTCGACAACCCAACTTTTGTAGGATTTGTTTTGATGAACTTGAAGGGCAACTATTTGGCTTTCGTGCTGCCAAGTTTCGATTCAAGGGGAAGTATTTAAGTGTGTTTTTCGAGCGATCTTGGCGAGTGTGTGTGAGACAGAGGTTTCCTACCTTCCCTTTTACTTGGTAGTGCCAGGACGTTGAGCTGAAACACAGAAAAACGGCCTCAAATCGCGACAAGAACAGCACAGACTACTCTGTATGAAGGTAAGACTTTATTTCTTTTATTATTTCACACAACTTTATATTTATGGAGCTCAAAAGCAAGTCCAACTAAACCACTCTTACAAACTCTATAATAATCCACTGTGAAAGAGCTTGTGACAGAGCCTGTGACAGAGCCTGGGCCACCTGTAATTTCTGGCCTTGAAGGCAAGTAAACAACGATCTAATCCTGATGAATTTTACCGCGTGGGCTTTGTACACGTAAGAAATTCGTACGTTTTTCGCTTATAATAGTAAATCAAAAACTGTTTTGAATAAATCTGTCGTCCTGAAATATTTCTTGGCCATTTTGGTCTTGCTTCCGATTGATAGATTCCATGGAACTTGAGATCTCTTCACTCACGGACAAATTCGCATATTCCATTTTGAAATATGATCCACATGCCATTTGCATACATGCGAAAACATTTAAACATTTTGATCTTTCATCTTGATTTTTTGAGTTAAAACGTAATATGCACCTATCGCTTTTTTCGTCGGAAATCAGTTCTTTAATTAATCTTCTTTCACTGGAGCTTGTTTTTCGGAAAAGATGATTTTTAAAAGGTTACTGCACATTGTGTGTGCTTTCTTGGTTTCTCCAAAATTTTGACTTTTCACAGGCTCGTGTTACACGTAAGTGTCAATGGGTTTAATCTATACTGAATGAGTTTTTGGCTAAAAATTTTTAATATGTGTAAAGAAATTTTATTGCAAAATTTTCACATATTGGGAGCTGCGCTTTTAGGCTTGGCTAAATCTATATATTATATACAAGGGTAAATTGAATTCTAACCACCCCTCTATACGAGTTTATAAGGCCAAGATCGGGGAGATATACCAGGTAGAAAAACAACAAAGCAGAATAGGCTTTTGCCACATATCGTTTTGTGGGATGGGTGTCGTCCAAATAATGTAGAGTAGTATAAGAAGTCAAATTTTATTGTAAAGCACACAATTTCGCTATATACTATTATTAAGGTACTGTAAGTAATTTATGTAACATGTTGAAAGGAGTGTAATATGTCGTAAAGTAATGTAAATGTAGAGTATTGTGTAGGTAGTGGAAGTAATCGAGAGTAAGTCATCTGCTGTAATCAACTTTATTGTAAACTATACTTCGTTAGTGATGTGTTCTCCATAAACTATTGTAAGCAACGTATTGTAACTGAGTCCTGTAGTGTATTGTAAGTAGAGTAATGTTTTGTAAAATGCCAAAAAAAAAAATAAAGAAATTACAAAAAAAAAAAAAAAAAATCTTCGCTGACCTTACCTATATGTGGGCTCAAACAGGCCGACGACATAACAACGGCCAGAGCATGGGCAGAGATTTCAGAAATTTTCGAGACGCCGATTAGAAGTATCATTCACGTAGATCTATAAAATCTAATTACAACCAAAAAATTATCATATCATGACAGCTTGCTACTCACAATTTCCAGAGCTCGAACCCTCCTTTAAATGCTTTTGAAATACCGAATCTTGTTCAAGCTGTTTCATGTCCAGAATTTTAGATTTGGCATCCTGAAAAAAGTAAAGGCAATGCAGTTTTAAATGAAGTCACGATCTCTCATGCAGTAATTCTACATTCTAATTGTTATATGATTCTTTGAGGATAGTTGAGAGAATTTGATGTTATACCAAGAAAACACTTGAATTGGTCTGTCTATTATTAAAACAGCAGTTTGTCAGGCGAACTTTCACATCAGTCACATCTGGTTATACCCTGTTCCAGGCTCTCAGTCGGTTAGGAGAGTAGAGAAGCGACAGGCGAGCCACAAGTAACACAGCGGTCAAACGTTTGCACATGTGCGAACGTTGTATAACTAGGTGGCTTACTTTCGGGCTGTCAGAACTACGATGTCTCACAGAAGCAACAAACAACTGCACAAGCTGGTAAGGCACGGTGTTTCAGACTCGTATTACTTTTTCGGTAAAGCTCAAAACAGAATGGTAGATCAACAACATACCCTCACTTGAATAGGCTTTGTGTTCGAGAGTGTAGAGTTTTCCTTTTCTTTCCTTTTGCTTCATTTTTAAAATTTCTATTAACGTTTCAGTTACTTTTCGCTTCTTTTTCGGGACAGCGGTTGTTAATCATGTTTTATTTTCAACTTTTGGGTGGGAAATTTGCGCGCGGGCGTCCAAAATTGATCCCCTTGCGCATGCCTGATGTTTGACTGCTGTGTTGCCACAACTGGCAATTGTGGTTGTCAGGAAAACGACTGGATAACGTTTTTCTCCATTCTTTTCTTAGCCTCAACTCTGTCGACTTATGCGCACTCGCTCTTTTGCGAGAACCTAGCACAGACTATTCTAAGAGTTACACTGCATGAAAG